TTTCTGAAGCCTGACTGATGTTTAGACAGGATGTCATTTGTACATAAAAACACCTTTACCTGTTCACTCACTAGGTGTTCAAGAACCTTAGCCACAACTGATAATTTAGAGATGGGCCTATAATTATTTAATAAAGTGGCCTCCCCACCTTTTAGTAGAGGCAGGACATATGCTGACTTCCACAATTTTGGAATTGTATTTGTGCTGAGGGAGAGGTTAAAAAGAGTAGTGAGAGGTGGAGCAATAAAATCTGCAGCTATCTTTAAAAAGAAAGTTTCTACAGATGGAGCGTTTTATTTTGGACAGTTTGAAACGCGAGGGTCGTGATTGGTCCGTGATTGGTCCGTGATCGGCCCGTGATCGGCCCGTGATGAAGAGCCGGCCCCCAGTCTGACTTGATACCGCCCCCGTGATAAATAAATGTAATTATTGTGAAGCCAGCTGCAATGGATCATTGATCCACCAGGGGGTGCAGTGGGGTTCCACACTGGAGTCATGTGAAATCAACTTCGATACAGTAAACTGGATGTTGTGGTGCCGAGAGACGGGAGTCGGAGGCGGCGTATCAAAAGTAAAAGCTAAACTTTTATTTAGCATCTGAACACACATGTAAACAACTTCATGCCCGGGAAGCGAAGACCGGCGGAAACAGCTGGTCTGGTTCACTAAAATGTCCGTGCAGAACAATACCCCAACCCATAGATCCGTGGGTGAATAATGTCAATCACCACAATATGTCTGGTACTAATGTATAGCGGATCTTTGTTAAGATCCATATGTCACGGATAGGATCATAGTCTGTGCTAAATAAGACATGTAATCATTTACAAAACATCACCATGTTGTTATTTAACAAAATAATGTTGTCGAACGAGAGGAAAGCAGCCGGCTCTCGATTTTTAATCCTAATTTAATCATCATCTTCACCACGATCATTTATGTTTATGTTCGCCGAATTGACATGAAATCACTGACAAATATGAATATACTGTATTCAACTTCATTAAAATGTTATTAACGTGCCTAAACTCAGTAATTCACTAAACATATTTATATTTGAATGGAGCCTTGTCAGGCAAATCAAGATCCGCGTAGCGGAGGGATCTTGATCCCTGGGTGTTATTTTTCCCCATAATGACCAAGTCGCTGCAAATTATCCCGCTTATTACATGGCCACATTTTCAACAAAGTAACGACATGACTCCCAATATTAATTGAAATGCTTTTATGGATTTAGAAAATGTTTTTATTGATTTAAAAAATAGTTGTATGTATTGATTTAAATTGACATGTATCCGCCAAGAAAAATAGTCCGTTGTTACCGTTTTTTAAACAGTCAGAATGAAACGGCAGCTCTCAGCTGTGTGTTTACACACCTAATGGCCCATCACCCACAGCTCTCTCCCCCCCCCTGATCTTTCTTTTCCAACAGTTAAGTTAACTGTAGGTTACTCTGAGTGACAAGCTTACAGTTAGTGAAGTAACACTAACTGGCTGTTTCATTCTAACATAACGCTCCAAATATGACTGTTTCCACTCGGACTTCAATACAGCAACACCATTGTTTGGTTTCCATGGTAGCGTGTCTCTTTAGTAGCGTGCACTCCTTTCCTGTAAATTACTAAATTAGTTTTTAACTGAAATGATCAAATAAAGTCAAAATGTCACAGTGTTTACAAACATTGACCATACCGTTCACCAGCCCCCACTGTTGAGTAGGCTATACTCTTTGTTTAAAACTAATTGGCCATCGGAATGTGTGTGTCCCAACCCCCCCTGTGATATCTCTTCTCCAGCAGTCTGTAGTGTTCGCATATTTATGCTGTCGCAGTTCCTGTTGTTTCTATCGCGCATTGCCGGTATGAAAGGGTCTGTGCCGGAAATATCAAGATAACACGGCAGGGTCCGTTACAGTTTGTTTTCATCTGATTTCAAATAAACAAAGTCTTGGCTTTCAGAATATTAAACTTGTTTCGGCAAATTTAGATGATAAATACAACTATGAAGCTTGTAACGGCATAATTACTTAAGCGGAGAACGGAGTAATTTAACGTTACAGCAGGCATAACAACAGCCGGTGTTTATTTTATTATTATATATAGTCGTTATTCATTTGTTTTAAAGCTCAATAAGGAAGATTTAAACTTTCACACACAGCTTTTTCCAGCGGTATCCATAAATCTCTTAATTTTGACCTCAAAGTGCACCAGATTGATGCATTTAACTTCAATATAAAGAAAAACATCTTCTGTTGTAACAACAATAACATTATAAATAGTAACATAGCTGATTCACCATCCCCCACCCCCCTACTGTATGTTGATTTTGTTTGCCTACATGTAAATGAGTGGCATTTAGTACCCCCCTCTGAGTGAATACCTGTTGTACCTGTCCGGGGCTAAGCCCATAGGACGATGCTCTGATGTCAACCCCCCCCGGTGACAATTCACGAGCGTCTAACTCTCTCCCCCCCCCCCCCCCCTTGTCGCACCTTCTAACAGAGCCCCCCCACATATCAAATCCCAATTTAACCCCTGGCTTCTGGAGCAGAAATGAAAGAGTTTTAAAAAAAAATACGTTTTGGTAAGTTTTTAGGGAAATGTTGTCATATTGCAACGTTGGCCTTAGGTGGGAGCAGAATTTCTGTATTTCTACTCACATTGTCTGAATAAATATATTGAACAACTAAGGGTTAATTTGCAGGATTGATTGCTTACTTAGCCCTATATCAGTATATAGCATGAATAATAATCTCACATCACTCATATTTGTTATGAATAATCATTTATCATTTATTAAATAGTAAGTCGCTTTGGATAAAAGCGTCAGCTAAATGCAATTTATGAAAGCCTCACTCAGGATTTTTTTAACAAGTGTTTTTATTGCTCTTGGGGCATTAAAAACAAGATTTTAACTTTAGTTTTTTTATATAATATCTGCATTTTCTCTTGTGAAAAACTAAGTCTTAGTTTGGCCATAGTTATTTAATATATAGCGCCATCTCCTGGTTAAATCCTGAAATTGAAAATCTGGCAACGCTCTCTTGGAAAATAGTGGGAGGGCTTAACATTCCCAGATACTGGTCTTTGGCAGGTCTTAGGCAGGTAACTGGCTGGTAGTAGGCAGGAAGCTGTATGCTGGAGTCTGAAATAAGATGCTCCATCTGTACGTTGTCCGGGCCGGCCGGTTTCTTAGGATCTAACTTGGTTAAAGCTTCACGAACTTCATCAACAGTAAAAGGAGTAAAACTAAAAGGGTTTTCCAAAACACGTTTTTCAGAGTCACAGACTGTGGTGTTAACAGAAGCAGAGTTAGTGACAGAATCAAACAGAGAGCCACAGGACACAAAATGCTCATTAAAACAATTTAACATAGTGGCCCTGTCCGATATAGTGCCAGATGCTGTGGTAATGCATGGAGGTAGCTCATTACGGATATCACCGGTGGATATCGATTTTATGGCTTTCCAACATTTTCCAGGATTATTCAGGTTCTTTGTGGTAACTGACAGATAATACTTAGACTTAGCACTTTTTATTTGTGATGTGAAGCTATTTCTTATTTCTTAGCTGCCTAAAGCGTAGCCATTCTACCTCTGAGCCTGATTTCCTAGCCTTTGCCCAGGCCTTGTTTCTCTCATGTAGGAGACTAGATAATTCAGCAGAAAACCAAGGATTGTCTCGTCCCTTCACTCTAAATTTACGCAGGGGTGCATGTCTAGCTATAATTTCCATAAAACCAAGATAAAAATAAGACCATGCAGTTTCTACATCAGCACACAGATCGATTTTACCCCAATCAAAATCAAACAGATCATGTACAAAACCCTGCTCCACAAAATGTTTTTTGTCTCTCTTACTGATAATGCGAGGTTTAACCTTTTGGACTTTTGTGTCCCTAATTGTGGCTACAACACAGTGATCACTCAGATCATTTGCAAATACTCCCACAGATGAGTATTTATGGGGAACATTAGTTAAAATGAGATCAATTAAGGAGGATTTATTTGGGGACTTAATGTTAGGGCGAGTGGGACTGTCTATAATCTGAGTAACATTCAGAGAGATACAAAGGTTTTTAAAATCCTCTGACACAGAAGTTAACCAGTCCCAATTAAAATCACCAAGCAGCACTATTTCCTTGTAGTGAAGTTGAGATAAAAGTTTTGCCAATGAAGATAAAGAGTCCTTGACAGCTGAGGGGGGTCTGTAGCAGCCCACCACCATGACCTGTTGACCCTTTGCTACTTCGTTATTTAAGGCTAAAAATTCTAGTTGTTTATTAATAGATTTGGAAACCATCTTGGTTACACAAAACTTATTTTTCACATAAATGGCAACGCCACTACCTTTTTTAGGACGGTCGGTACGATATACACTATAACCATTTAAGTAGATGTCAGAGGCCAAAATAGATTTATCAAGCCACGTTTCTGATAAGACAATGACATCAGCATCAGTCGAGCTCGCCCAAATGCGGACAAAATCTAACTTAGGTAACAGACTGCGCACATTTAAGTGAATGAATCCCAACCCAGATCTAGAAATAAAATCAGCAGGAGTTTGATCCGTTCTTCTCCCTTGTTTGCTAACGCTAAACCCTGTCTAATAATTTCCATAACTGGGCAGATAAAGGATTTTTTTACATTTCAGATTTTAACACGAAACCTGGTAGCCTATCCTGCTAGCAATCGTTCTCAACTCCAGCCTGCCCCTCTGTCTTTCTGGCTCTGGTTTATTTTCATAAAACACCCTAACAAAGTACTGTGCGCAGTAAAATCACCACACCATTCTATAATTAGCTTGTGTCAATCCACATGCTTCATTCAATATGCGAAAGTTTAATGTATTACAAGGATCATAATGATTGACCTCATCCCATTCTTTACAAATGGTACATTCCCTCCACCTTTGATCGAGTGATGTTTCTGTGGGAGGAGATTAAAGTTCCACAAAATATTAACCTGAACTTGTTTGCTATAAAAAAAGAACCTGTTCTTGCAAAGTTTGATTAGGTCATTGCTTTGTTTGCAGACGCTTAGACGACTTCAGAACCAAGAGTAGATCAAACCAACTGTCAAGAAGGCACACCTGAACACAAGCTTGAAAGGTCAGTTAGTGTTTATTTAACATTGACACTTTTTGTGGTCAGCTTCTGTGACTGCAGAGCTCTAGAATTTTGATTTTATTTGTAGCCGTTTGCCCCTTCTGAAAGGGGGACAACAATGCCGAACATGGAGTATTTTAAACTTAAGTACTGTGGTAGAGGACGCATTCGGATACTATACTTAAGTTAAATGATTTCACTGATCCACAGTGTCTTTACACTCATACTGCACAGCATTTCAGAGGTAAATATTGTATTTTATTATAACACTTGTCCAGAAGCTATCGGAATGAGAATTCAGTTTTTGCCAAGTAAGAAGAAAAGAGGCTTCTGTATGACATTGTTTTTTATTGTAATATCTGCAAATCAGAGCTAAGCCAGAAGGCAAAGCTCTCTCTAGCGGTCTATCCTAATTTATATTCTTACCTCTGGTCATGGATACTTAGACTTTCTCTGGAGGTTGGCTGGAATATTCCTTAGGGATAATTTGAGAAGTTCATTAATCCATGAGGGAGTTTGAGTAGAGACCGCTGCTGCTTTTTCGAAGAAAGTATCCAGGTGGTTCGGGACCAAGTGGACACCTTGGAATCCCCCATCAGAGCTGGTTAATGTGGTCAGGGAAAGGGAGGTTTTGGGCCCTGTTCTGGAACTGCTACCTCCTGGGACCCGACTCTGGAAATGCTGTTTTCGATAGGGTGAGGGTTTAGATGGATAGTAGTGTTTTTAAGGTGTGTTTACCATTTATCTCCTTAGATTTTAGAGACCCTGGTTGAGTGTTTGCACACAAGTTCCAACTCCAACTAAATAAATACAATAAATAAAATATATTGCACCATCTTTATTTGGAAATAATAGTGAAATCTGTCATTTATTTATTAATTGTATTGTCTCTTGATTTCTTCTGTCCGCTCAGTTCAGGATGGACATGAAACAGCATTGCGTGAAGCTGTCGGTCCAGCCGTCCAGAGGGCTTGTGGATGAGAAGTTCACCGTCTTGGTCCAGAACCTCCTCCCTGGGTTCCAGCTGACCATCCACGCCCTCCACCAGTGTGAAGACGGACACAGCTGGGAGGCTTTTGCTCACTACACTGCTGATGCCACCAGTATTGTGAACGGTAAGACCATCAAAATTCAGGAAGATGAATTTAGAGCGATTACTAAAGTTTGTGAATGGCAGAAAAACATATTTTGTTATTAAATGATGGAGTTATATGTGAAAATAGAAAAAAGTCAATATGTTTTATCCATTTCACTCCCACAGTCTCACAGGATCCCAGTCTGGGCCGGACATATTCTGGGATTGAACCGATGGGCCTGCTGTGGAGCCTCAGACCAGTTCCTGGCAGCAAAACTGGGCTCAGTTTTTATATATTATTATTAGGCCCAATTCCAAAACGACCCATACACCACTGCACTCTGTGACCAACTGAAGTCCGCCTGTATTCTGATCTCAGCTGAACGAGCCTCCTTCTGTCTCTCTGGTAGAAAGAGCAGCCGTCATAACATTTCGGAACCATAGTTTTGTGTCAGCATATCTTGGATGAAAAATAATCATTATTTATAGTAAATTAACTTCCATAAAAAGGTGTAGGGGATGGATTTAAATGAAGCCTTATGGTGCGTTCACACCGAATGACGAGATTGACGCGACTTGCGCCTTCGCGAGAGTTACATTTTGTCAACTCGAGCGTGAAATTCACGTGGCACATTCTCGCGTTAGCCAATCAGCGGTGAGGATCTCGGCCTGCCGCCACTGACGTTGAATCAGATAACCAAAACATCAGCCGTTAGCTGTTAGAGCTCACAGCTCCTCATATTTGTTCAGAAACTGGTGAAAAGTTATACATGTACAAACCACAGACTGTCTGTGTCATGGCGAATACAGTCGCTGCTTTATTTCTGTCTTTATGACATTGTTGTGAGTGTGGACGGAGCAGCTACATGTTAGATTAGTCTTATCGATCGATTTCCGAAACACATATTAGAAAAGTGTTTTCGTCTGCCTACTTGTTTGAATGACGCTAGTAAACACAACTTCAAGCCGATTATATTCGCATCGCTTTAATCCGGTGTGTCGGGTGTGAACGTTAGAGTTACCTCGTTCCCCTCATTCTTCAAGGTGGAGGAAGATGAACGTCCAGACTCCCATGGGGGTCACAATCTCGGTGTACCAGGGTCACCAGACGGAGGGCTTCTTGGATCAGGTGCTGCTGGCCAGTGTGGTGGTAGAGCGATGGTTCATGGCTCCCGGCGTCCGTAGAGTCCCGATAACAGAGGGCAGACTCACTGCGACCCTCTTCCTGCCCTCAGGTAGGACCTGGGGAGATTCTGAAGGGAGGTGTCCTCTGGGGGAAGTTTAGGGGTGACATTTGTGTGACATAGAAGAACATTAACAATGAAAATGAACCAAATTCAGCATTAGTTATTTGTAACTTTTGGAACAACAACATTTTTTATCAAACTGAATTCAAGAGTACATCGGTAAAAAGTAATATTATCGATTACTCAATTACACAAATATTGATTGTATCTGGAAGACTTTGTGCTTTCAGCAAATATGGTAAAGCTTCCCAAATAATCCATATATCATTGTATAATTACCGAGCTAGTGATTGTATTTGGTGTCTTGAATTGTCTGAAGGACCTGGTCCTTTCCCCGGACTCTTGGACCTTTGGGGGGGTGGAGGGAAGTTGGTGGAGTACCGGGCAGCGCTGCTGGCCTCCCACGGCATCGCCTCCCTGGCCCTCGACTACCTGACAGCTAAAATCACTAGGGAAACTGGTAAAATGGTGGACAATGATTACTTTGAGGTACATCAACCATGTATATCTTGAAAACATAAGATATAAATGTAAGATAGCGCTTTCTGACCAACAAAAAACGTTCTGCATCATCAATGTAGAGGTGTATTTTCGACATATTTTCCTGCTGCAGACGGCCTATAGAGTCCTGGAGCAGCATCCTCAGATCCTCGGCAGCAGGATCGCCATGTTGGGTCTTTCCTTCGGCGTCTCTGTCACTCTCAGAATGGCTGTTTACTCCCAGGTTGTAAAGGTAAGACCATCTATCTATCCATCCATCTATCCATCCATCCATCCATCCATCCATCCATCCATCCATCTATCCAACTGATGTCAGGTGTAGCCTTGCAACTGAATATAACTCCACACAATGAGAAGCACTCAATATAGCAATATAGTCCACAATGTCTGGAAGTTGCTCATTCCGTCGCAGCGAACTGCAAGGGATCAGAACCATGTCACACTTATATTATCTGACCGATAATCGGATTCTGTCCAGCTGTCTGATCTCTGTATGTGTGTGGTCTCCCAGCTCAGATGCGCAGTGTGTATCAGTGGGAGTCATGTGCAGCCGATTGACGGACCTGTGAACAAATTATTGCTTTATTTAACAAGTAAGTTAATCTTCTTTCAGTTATCTCTATGCCTTTCCTGCTCACAAGAGATTTTAATTAGAGCCTGAGCTCGACAGAGTCGGAATGAAGAACTATTGTTTTCCTCGACTATTTTTATTAGGGTCTGAGACTGTTTTGTGTGACACCACACACAAAACAGGCCAAACGACGGGCTAAAACCCAGAAAAACGGGCCAAAATCATGACAGCATGTAGCCCGTTCGTGCATAGCGATGTGGGCGCAATAGGATTATTATTATGATTATAATTTTTCGTCTTTGAACGCACTTTTGACCCCCGCAACCTTTATGAAAACTCACCAAATGTTGCAAACACGTCAGAAATGGTGAAAATAGACGTTTGGAATGGGTTCCGTAACTTTGCGTAAAAAATGTGCAAGCCACGGCCACTTCTGTTTTTTAATGTAAACTCCCCCCACTTTCACTTTCACGTAAATGAACAAAATTGGATACCATATCTAAAGTCCGGAGACAAACAAAAAAGCCTTTTGGAGGTGTATAAAAAAACGTACAGGAGGTCGGCCATTTCGAATTTAACATACCCTACTTTAAAGATCTCCTCCCAGGGATTTTTTCCCATCGACACCAAATTTTGAAAGTAGCGTCTCGAGACTTGGGGGATGAAAAGTTATCAAAATCGAAACTTTTCACCGCACGGCGTACTCGTTATGCGGCGCCCATTTTAACGTTTGTGTGATGCTAGGTGATCCCTCGACATGGAACACGATGATGTCATAACTCCAACTGACATGCTCCGAATACCGCCAAGCGTCACATGATGGTTTACACTGCTGCCCTGAACAGCTCTACGTCAAATCTGAGGTTTCATAATGTGGTATTTCCATGGCAACGCAAGTGCAATGGACATGTTCCGATCGCCATCAAACTTCACTTGTATATCATCGGTCCACCCATCAACAGCTTTACACTAAATCTGAGGTGTAATCATATGCCGTTTCCATGGTAATGCATCCCTCCTCATAAAACACGATGTTGTCATAACTCAAAGGAAAATTGTCCAAATGGCACCATACTTCAGATGATGGTTAATGGTCTGGCCCTGAACATGTCTATGTGCCACTTTTGAGTTTTCCGCACAACCAGGGCCGGCCCTGACCAATTTGCTGCCCTAGGCAAGATTTTAGCTGGCGCCACCCCCCCCCCCCCCCCAAAATTAACACAAATACAAAATTAAAGCCTATAATTGCACATAAAAAACATTATTTAAAAAAAAGAACAATTTCACATAAACCTCTGGTTTTTACTGTAATTTACATTAATTACAGCAGAGGGAGCTGTCCTAATCAAGTGAAGAGAGGGATGTAATCTACTTCCAATGTTTGCCCTTTTGTGGGACCATGCCAAACTATCTCCTCCTACAATTTTTATCAGATCGACTCCAAATTTGGCCAGTACCATCAGAAGACTTGGATAATCAAAACTTATTGCGCACTTGTGTTGTGTTTTGGTATGGCAAGGTTACTCTATAGCGCCCCCCTAAAATACCTCAACATACTTATTTTGGGTTTAGCGATGCATTTACGAAATTTGTCACAGGCGTTAACACGGAGGATCTTAAGTAACTGATATGGTTGTCGTGTTTCTGTGTGGCAGGATGGCTCTATAGCGCCCCCTAAAAACCCTTCACGAAGGTGTACGTGACACCTACATGTACGATATATAAGAGGCATTTGTATCACTGGAAAATCTGATTCCCATGTAGGGAAATGTAGTGAAATCAGTTCAAGCGGTGGCAAGAAGTAGCTTACTTGCGCACATGCACAAACAAATCAGGTTAATGATACAAAGTGGTTAGTGACGATGGCGATTCGAGGCTGCACATGGGTTCCTGAAGCTTGCAGCTTTCATTTTGATTGTAATTACCCTATGATCAATCTCTGGTGCCACCCTCAAGACAAACATTGAATCCTTTTCTTCTAAATCAGAAACATTGACAAGATTCAGCTTGATAAGGATAACCAGTCGATCCTTAGAGATATGCTGCTGCCCATCCCAACAGACCCCTCACTCAAAGTAGACGTGAGTACCAGCAGACTCTTGAGAGAGTTTATATTTCTGATTTTTAACTGGGTTTTTGCTCTTCGAAGCCCTTTTTGTAAAAAAATAAATCATTTCGGTTGATATAGATAACAGTTTGTTTGCATTATGTATTATCACCTGTGTATTCACATTTGTTTTAGACTGAACAACCATGTACATTTTTGTATATGTATTTAATCTCTGCTGATATCTACAACAAAGTATATGTGGATAAATGTGCTTCTGTAGCTCTGAGTAAAGTGTCAAAGATCCAAAGATAAATGATCGCACAGTGATGCATCATGAAAAATTCTGCAGCAGATGATACAATCTGAAACGCTGCTGTGTCTCTGAGCAGGTGGGACGACTGCAGTGTCCTCTGCTGCTCGTTGTCGGTGAGGACGATCAGAACTGGCCCACCTACGAGTCTGCTATAGATGTGAGTGTATTTACAAGATGACATCCTGTGTGAATAAAAACATTCACCTGGAGGTCTGGGTTGAGGTCGAATAGTCAAAATAATCTGTCTTTTCCTAACCTTAGTGTAAAAAGTAATGGGGTTAAGGAAAGATGTGAAGAATTAATCAGGATGTAGAAAAGAGACTGCAGTGCTAAGAGAATAGGACTGCACTTGGGCAACGTAATTATGATTTTGTTGATATGCATCTTCCGTGTTGAAACCTTAATTTTCCGTAGATGGACTACTTAAAGCGCATCTAGATACTTGTCCTTGTGTTTTCTATCTTACCTTTTATGATGTTGTTTTATGCTGGCTTCATGAAGGTGAACAACAATGAAAATGATATTACTTTATTGCCAAAGTTGGAATTGAAATAAAAAAAAACAAAAAACAAAATTCCAGATATTAAATGAAAGATTTGACCGTAAAAGCAATGATTCATATTATTGAATATATGACTATTTATCAAGATCTCATGGAAAACAATACATTGAATTAAGGAGGGGTAAAACAAAGCATGTTTCCAACATTTGCAACATCTTTGAATTTATTTGTAAAGACATATTTTTAAATTCCACTCTCATGAAGATTTACAGTTCAGACGTGACAGCAGCAGAAACAGTATAAGATATACATATTTACAAAGCATATCCAAAGAATGATAATGAGGCCATTTAATATTAACATTTATGAGATTATGTGTTTAACTTCCTTTTTTGCAGATGAGAGAGATGATGGAGCGAGCGGGGAACAGCCACCTGCTGACTGTCCTGTCCTATAAGAACACCGGTCACCTGATCGAACCTCCGTTCACACCGTTTGTCAGAGCCAGCTCCTTCAGAACAGTCACTAACCCACCTTTTACGAGTATGTTCCCCTTCAGACCAGGAAGATGTTTCTCTCAAAGTTAAGCTAACAAGTCCGAACTTTGAGTTTTGACTGCTATAGTTTGGCTTCTTGTCTTTGCAGTGATGGTTCTGTGGGGCGGAGAGCTGGTGGCACATTCTCTCGCTCAGGAAGACGCCTGGAGGAAGACGCTGGTCTTTCTGAGGGAGAATCTGTACGGCGGCATGAAACCTGGTGCTTAATTTTCCAACCTGTAACCAAGACAACAATTTAATATTGTAGAGACTTCTGGCACCTTTGGTTCAGGATGTAAGAGTTATCTTTACCATGCATAATCATAATCACTTTGGCTGCAAATGTAATGGACATGAAATATTCAAGGTTGAATTAGTACAAAAGTAATTTGGTTAAAGTTTTAAATGTATATTGCACTCATCAAACAAGAGATAATAAAATGCCTTACAAGGAAAGAAAGAAAAAGCACCATATAAACAGTTTGGAATCTTGTTTTGTTATTTTGATGTTTACCTGAATTATTGATCCTCTCTGAAATATCAGCACCTAATCGTATCTATGTAATGAGTCCTGAGAACCCAAAAATGATTATTAGTTAATGTCCGATTCTTTTGTATTGTCTGGAACTAGCTGCAATAAGGTATTTTCTGTTAAAAGCTCCTGTCTACTGCTTCAAGTGATAGAAGAATTAGACCAACTCATGGACCAACAAGTCCTCCAACTCATAGGACCAAATAGGTCGATTGTTCAAGCGCTTATTACGACCAAATAGGTTGTTTGTTCAAGCGCTTATTACGACCTATAATCACGTTTTAAAGTTTTCGACCTCTAGTGCTCCCGTTGACTGCAAACGCTACGTTGGGTCGTATATTCACAAATAACGCTCTCTGGAAAATTCTAAATTGTAAGATAGTTTGGCCATTAAAATGCTTTTTCATTAGATTTCTAGCGATAAGTGTATATTGTACTTTTATAATCCACGTATTACGAAGATGATTTGAGGTTTCGCCAGGAGAACGTGTATATGCGGCAGCTTCCATGTAAAGTTAGCGTCAACCCTCACGGGGTGAAAACAGTATTTCCGGTCTTGAAGTTTTCATAATAAACCAATGATCAAATGATCAACAGTGATATCTGCAGTACTCATCCACTAAAAAACATCAGTTTATCCTTGTTAATTACACGACATTAATTGGTTTAAATTGTGTACAATGCTTTTGTGTTTTTCCCATAGGTTTTTCCCTTTCGATTCTGAGACACATTTATTTTTTCAGAGGTTTTGATAGGCTAAAACATCGAACTACCCATCATCCTGGATGTTTTAGCCGCAATGCACGTCGGGATATGGTGTTTATGCGATATGAAATCGGAAAACATTTAAAAGAAAAAATATATATACTTTATTCCGAGTGTTCTTGCTTTTCTCTTTGGAAGTCAGTGAAATAACGGCATTGTAATAAACGGTTCGGCTGCATTAAATATTACACATCTGCCGTAGTTCTTTATTTATAGAGCCCTGATGAGAAGACTTCTGGACAAACTGGAAGAAATGCCGCCGAAACTGAATATGTGACGTGGACCATAAATATATCAGCAATTACACAACATCTTCCATTTATTCTCACACAATACGTCTCCTTGCAGTATCAACACTAATTCGGCTGACTTTTATATTTGATCCAATTGGTAGATAGGTTATATTTACACCATACCGGTGCACAGCTGATAGAAAGGGACTTGTAGTTTTTAAAGATATTACTGATTTTCTTTGAATTAAAGAATGTAATATACTGAGTTGAGAGAATAGTCAGGGGTTTTGGGTGATGGGAGACACATCTATGGAATCAGAATTTCAATAGCTGATATTATTATGTTTTATTAAAGGTGGGGTAGGTAATTTTGGAGAAACCAGCTCGAGTGCGCTACAATTTGAAAATACACAGCCGAAAAAAATCGGCCACTTCCTTACATGCAGCTTTCACACCAGCGATTTTCCCTTTCTAGCTCCGAGCTAGAGCTTTTCTGGTTCAGCTCCGGTTTCCCTTTTCTGCTCCCGCTTTGTTCACACCACTCAGAGCCGGGATGGTGCTGCCGCTGCTGCGTCATGACGTCACCGTTTACATCGCTGATTTGCTCCCCAACGGCGCTCACAACAACAACAACAACGGGGGACTGCGTTGGGTCGATGATCGTGTTACTTTTAATCATACGAAGCCAGATTAAATTAAATAACGACTTCTCCAACCTTATACTTTTCTCCAGAGTGCCGTGGTTCATTGTTTATTAATGTGTTTCAGCGGCATTTACCGACCAATGCAGTGCTACCTGCTCTTCCACGGGAGTTTATTTAGTCTGAATTGACGCTGTTTGGCATCACAACGCTGTTATGAAAGTTTCTCTGGTATAACATGGGTGATGTTAGCATAGCAACCGAAGCTAAACTGACTACTTGCTAAGCCGTTTTCTACAGGCACATTTTACCGGCGTATTTTTCATTATGATTCTATTTGTGATAGTCGGACATGACAACCTGTGCAGCCCATGTATTGATTGACAAAACGTCTGCCTGCTCTCCACAATGATCAATAACAGCGAACGGATGGTCAAAGTAAGGTACAAATAAACAGAATCACACGAAACCTGGTTAGTGTTGCCTGACTTTATAAAGTGTGTGGTTGCCTTCTAGTCACTTTGCTCAGCGCTACTGCTTGTAGGCAGGCATGACGAGACTCTTCAGTCGACCCATGTTCAGGGGAGGTGGGTTTAGTTTCGACGTAAGAGAGACGTAAGCGACGCCGCCTCTTAGCTCCGAAGCTCTTGCTTCTAGACCGACAATTTTTTGGAGCTGGAAGTGAACCGGATTCCGGGGCTAAGAGGCGGCGCCGCTGCGGTGTGAACAGGAATAACCGGTACTTTTCAGGCTCTAGCTCCGAGCCGGAGCTGAAAACGCGTTGGTGTGAAAGGGGCAACAGAGCCCCTCCTCCAACACACACGAACGCGCACATGACCAATGAGGGCACGAGATAAGTTTGTGCACAGATGGAAGGCTGACAGGCAGGTAGGCCATCCAGTTACTTTAGCCGGGCCGGCTAAAATGATTGGTCGTGCTTTTTACAGTACTACGGCTTCCACAGATGACATTTTTTTATGGATTTTTTGTCAAAGCACTTAAGATATTCATTGCTATCGGGATGTTAAGAGCATTCCATGGAATATAACAAAAAGTGTATCTCGAATTTTGTTGTTGAATGTTATATTTGATGAAAACGTTTAAATATTAAGAGTAGCCTACATACAAAATAGGGGGAAAGTAGAAGGTCAATGATAGAAATATAGAATAGAAAATATCAAGAAGATACTGTAGTGATCTCAACAATAAAACAGTGTCCTCTGCTGCTCGTTGTTGGTGAGGACGATCAGAACTGGCCTGCCCACGAGTGTGCAATGGACGTGAGTTAATCAACATGACATGAAACACTGAAAACATGGATATGATACATGATACATGAACAACCCATTTTTGTATCCTGCTTTTTTGCCATGTACATTTGATTAAATCTCATTCTGTTTTAAAACACAGATATATATCAAGGATCAAACTGGTGTAATAGTTTTAAACCCATTTATGTTTTTCTCTTCTCGGACCAAATGTTTTTTGTTTTGTTAATAAGCTGGCATAATATTTCACTAAGATCTCGTTCAAAACAGGGCATTGTGAGTGGACTGAAATATTTGCAGGATAATTTTGTGGACTTGCACGGCTCTATACGTTATCATAGTACTTTAATTGTGGCTCATCATTATTATTTAACAGTGAGCTCATGCAACCTTTTTCAGTCTAAAATACATATTAATAACTTTTTTTATTTAGTTGAAGCTTATCATTATATTATTGATGGTCATTGGAGGCAGTGTGGCCCGAGATAGACAGTTAAGAGATGATGGCAACAGAAACAATAGAAGAAGTAAAAAAAAAAAGGTTGTGAGATGATCTAAGACATATGAGATTATTATGTGTTTAACTTCCTGTTTTGCAGATGAAAGAGATGATGGAGCGGGCGGGGAACAGCCACCTTCTGACTGTCCTCTCCTATAAGCATGCCGGTCACCTGATCGAACCTCCATTCATGCCGTTCGCCCGAGCCAGCACCTTCAAAACGGTCACTAACCCACCAACCAAGGGTAGGATACGATAATACTTTAATGGTCAGATCAAGTCTGAAATGTGACTTGCATCACAGCAGCTCCATGTGTAACATCAACAGACAAATATCAAGACACAATGCATGAAAAAAACAAACCATTTAACATAACAGCACAATCACTGAGAGAAAACATGCTCAAAGACCCTTTAGCGTGCATTTGATCTGGCTCTGTATTTACTGTGAGGATTGACTGGAGCACAAAGTATGCTTCAGTCTGACTTTATTGAATCGTGGGACCCTGTATCTCCCATTAGATGGTAGCAGTTCATATTTTCTGTTCAGAACATGGTTTGTGTCCGAGATGATGTTGTTGGACAGCCTTATTAAGTTGTTATGAAAAGCTGAGTCATAAAGTCTATAACAGGGTTGACCAACAATCTTTGAGCATATTTTTAACAGGTTGAGCTGTTTTGATTTTAAAGCTGTTGACAAACACTTGTACCAGGTAGTATTGCAGTACTGTATTTCTCAGTGAATCAAAGTTAGGGTGCTTACATTTAGGACTTTGAGTTTTGACTGCTATAGTTTGGCTTGTTGTCTTTGCAGTGATGGCTCTGTGGGGCGGAGAGCTGGTGGCACATTCTCGCGCTCAGGAAGACGCCTGGAGGAAGACGCTGGTCTTTCTGAGGGAGAATCTGTACGGCGGCATGAAACATGGTGCTTCATTCTCCAACTTGTAACCAAGACCATCCATCCATCTTCTCCTACTCATCGGTGGTCGGGTCGTGGAGGTAGCAGTTCCAGCAGAGAGCCCCAAACTTCCCTTTCCCTGTAACCAAGACTAATAATCACACTAACTGGGACTTCTGGCGCCTTGGATTCAGGAAGTAAAAGTCTGCTCTATTTTTTTCCTCATTCTTAATCATGATGGGGGGAATTCATGTTTTTCTTACAGAAAAACCAAACTCATCTATCTCAGTCACCGTGGTGGCCAGAGAAACAGACTCCATGCCTGCATTTGTTTTTCATGCCAGAAAAGTGACCTTTAATTGTAATTATTATACTTCATAATCAAGTTGATTACAGCTTACTGGTTGAATCAGTACAACGTCTTAATAACTTGTGGTAATATTTAAGTTTATTTATATAGCCAGTGGGTGATTTTAGGGTGGATTCCATCACCCTTGTTCAAATAGAGTCCAAAATACAACCTCCATTATAGAGAGAGTAGGGGCAGAGGGGGACTCTAGTTTAATATATGTTAATCTACCTGACTCATTAATCCTCTCTGACATTTACTGTTTTGCATGAATACGTCGTAAAATCCAGATAATG